CTTAAATGAGGAGAAAGCAATGGGTTCTGCTGGATAACGTTTAAAAGATATGACGATGTTACTGATGCTTGCTCAAAGGCCTTCTTGGTTCTCACCTGGCCTTTTCATTGCTACAGTATCAGTCAGTCAAGGAAATCCCTAGTAGCCTTTGAGCGTTCTCCAACAGGAGAAAAAACAGTGCTTACAGTGTACACACATAAGAGGAACTAACGGATGCTACCAGGATAAAAAAAAAAATCTAGTTTGTTACTGATGGCCTTTGCATCCTCTCTCTAGCACTAGTCTAAAGTGAACGGGTTAAAGAGAATGATAATGTGTGCTTGCTACCATGCACTGAAGCCCTGCGTTTGAGCCCCAACACCACAGAAAACCACACATCAAGATTAGAAGTTCAAGGCTATACTCAGCTACATAGTGAGTTTTTGCTATGTGAGGTGCTGTATCACAAAAAGAAAAAAAGAAAGAGGAGAGAGGGAGGGAAGGAGGGAAAAGGAGAGAGAGAGAGAGAATAGGCCATACCTTTTGGGATGTCTGCCTGATGTTCTCTCTCTGTGCCTCTTTCCCCCTTTAAGAGATTGCCTCAGATAGACATCTGTGTCTCACATCTGACTCAGACAATCCCCCCAAGAGTATATTAACTAGGGGAAGATATATTCCCCATTCCAGGCAGGCTGTGTCTCCTAGCAATGTTAAATGGAGGGAGAGGGGTGCAGGCTGAGGGATTTTGGCACTGAGCATGGTCAGTAGCTGAGAGAATGGTCTGACTCTCTGCTATTGTAGGGCTTAGAAGTGCCCTGCTTTGTTTTGGGAGTGGGTGGGGGGCATCTGTACTTCACGGGATTTGTAACTTCCTCATTTTGCTTAAGCTTCCCAGAATAACTTATTATTTGTACTGAAAATTTCTTAAAATTTTAATTTCATTTTATGTATTATTACCATCATCATTTACTACAACTACTATTAGTTTTAGTCAAAGTTCCATTGCTGTGGAGAAACACCACAACTATGGCAACTCTTATAAAGGAAAACATTTAATTGGGGCTGGCTTACCGTTTCAGAGTTCAGACCATTATTGCCATGGTGGGAAGCACGGCAGCCTGCAGGCTGATAAGGTGTGGGAGAGGTAGCTGAGCGTTCTACATCTTTATCCACAGGCAGCAGGAAGAGAGAGCAACATGGGGCCTACCTTGAGCATCCGAAGCCTCAAAGCCCACCCCCAGTGACACACTTCCTCAAACAAGGCCACCCCATACTCTATGAAGGCCACACCTTCTAGTAGTGCCACACCCTATGAGCCTACAGGGGGCAGTTTTCATTCAAACCAGTACATCATCATCACCACCACCACCACTACCACCATCATCATCATCACTATTATTATTATTATTATTATATGTGGGGGGCATGTACACACAGGTGGATGCTTGCCAAGGCAGCCAATGAGGTCAGAGGACAACTTCCTGGAGGAGTTGATTCTTTTCGGTTGCTGTAGGTTTGGAGATTGAATTCAGGTCATAAGGCTTGTATAGCAAGAACCCTCACTCACTGAGCCAAATGTTTTCCTTTTCTTTCAGTGTCTAGGTCTTCTTCCCAATGGTCCTTATCGCTCTTGACCAGAGACAGACTGCTACAAGTGTCATGAACCACAGAGAAGCTGCATTGGTGACTGGCAGGTTATCTTTGGTGAAAAGTAGATACTTCCTTTGGTGACCTTAGGTTTTTATTTAGCAAGTTTGTACTTAGAGAATATTTTTAGCCTACTAGTTTATATTTACTGGAAGTATGAATGATACTGATACTTAGAGGAAGAGGTTTTCATTTCAAGTGTATGAAATAAGGAACAAGGTCATATTTCTCCAGATATAATGCTGAAGGTGTCCTTACCGAATACATGCCGAGCAGAGTTAGGTAGATTTTCAGACTGCTTTAATCACAGAAGCCTTGTGAACCAGAGCTTCACTGTGCTGATTGGATGTGGTAGGTGTTTTGAGTGTGATCAGCATCCTCTAGTTAATCCTCCTTTATAATTCTGATCATTAAAAAGGTTAACTTCAAGTCAATGCTGTGATGCTACACGCCTTTAATCCCAGGACTTGGGAGGCAGAGGCAGGTCGATCTCTGAATCTGAGGCCAGCCTTGTTATAGTGTAACAGCCAGGGATACACAGAAAAACTCTGTCTCAACCCCTACAAAAGGCTAAATTTAAAGTACATGTGTTTTATTTGTCATATCTTATGGTAATATAATGTGATGCAGAGCAGCTTTGAAGTGACTATTAAAATAACTTTAGGTGGGGTGGTGAGATGGCTCAAGTGGGACAAGGCATTAGTCACCAAGCCTGAGGACCCGAGTTCAATACCTGGGAGACCCACCTGGTGGAAGGAGAGATCTGACTTCCATTAAGTTGTTCTTGAACCTCCATATGTATGCCGAGTCACATATACTTACACACACACATAACTTCCACACACATAATAAATAACTGTAATTAAATTTAAAAAACTTTAGACAAAAATGCCTATCCAGCATAGTAAAGTTTAGAAGTGCAATTGGTCCCTTTAATATGAATATTCCTTTTCTTGTGCTCTTCATGGTTCTTAAAAAATTGTTAGTATGCATTTCTCAAAGTGAAAGGCATGCCACTCAGTGGCTAGGAAGCAGCATTGCAGGAGAGAAAGGAAAATGCCATTTGTGATGCTGAGAATTAAGACATTGAGCCAAGGAGAAGTACGACCAAGCTGAGACCAAGAGGGGTTATGAGAGCAGTTCAAGAATTAACCTTCTGGTTAATTTTATGGCATGACCACATTGTTTGTATTAATGGAGGCACATTCTGCCAGAGCGCCTTTATTCATTCACCAGCGTAGCTCTGGACTGTGCATGATTTTGTAATCCTCCCCACCCTGGGGACATTTCGAAATATCTGGAGATATTTTGATTATTACAACTGGTGTGTGTGTGCGCGCATGCATGTGCGCACACCAGGGACACTGTTAAATATGTACTATCTTACAATGCCTAGGGCAGTCCCAAATAAAAAAGGAATTTCTCGGTTCAAATACCAATGGTGCTACTGTTGAGAAACTTGGTTTAGAAAATACCAGTTTTACATGTTTCTGAACTAATAAATGCTTCGAAGAACTTGAGTCAAAGTTCCTTAAATGCTAACTGATTAGCTCAGTTTTGTTTCTAAGGTATAGACTTTGGATTTGTTTTATCAGCAACTTTTATAAGTCACATTCAGATGTCAGAAAGGCCTGAATGCTCCGAGACAAACTTTCCCAAATCTTGCCTTTCTTCTTTCCTCTTTCAAATCTTCCCTCCTTTCATTCCCTGTTCTCCTCAACTGTGCAGCATTTCATTAGACTAAATACTCTATGTACTGACCAGAAGCAAATACAATAGGTGCATACAAAATCTGGATAGGGCTTTTAGTGTGTGATATTACTAATTCATTTATTTTAGATTTTAAAAACATTGTCTTTAGACACTATGCAGAGGTAACCAAGCTTACTTTTACATTTGTGTGGTGAATCAAATATCAGGGAACCTTTAATATCTATGAAAAGAACTAATAAAACCTTGAGTGTGTCTTATTTTTTTATTTTTATAACAAAGTATGTGAGAGGTTAAAAATGTTTCTCTATAGATGGTATCTGCTTAGAAAAGCAGACCTGGATTTAATCTACTTGTTAAAAAACAAGGTCACTGTTTCTTGACAGGTTATAAAATGCAGAAAGTTGCTACCATTTCCTTACATTTTTAAGCCTGGCATTAAAAGCCTGTTTTAAGCCTGGCAACAGTGCCTCTGACACCCAGTAAAATAAATGCTTGGTTCAAAGAATGTATGCAAATAACCTTTGCTAAATGAGTTAACATCAAAGGTGTAGTTCAGGAGAAAAAGGCGTTTGCCCTCTACAGCAATAGAGCAGTCATCTGCTCCTCCTTCAGTAGCGTGTATGTTTACTTATTCCAAGTAACAGCATGGTCTGTTGACATGTCAAATAAAAATGCCCTAAAGTCACTTTTGTTTTCTCACTAGACTTACTTCTTTATCTTTGTTTCTAGTTCTTTTTGCAAACAACTTTCTCAAATTGCTCCTTTTCTTGTTTTTAAAACCTGGCTCTTTTTGGTGTCTTTACAGATGGAGTTTGCCTGCATCTTACTCTGCTTGGACAGTCTTCATTTTTTCTTGTCCTTAAGAGCCACCTGCAACAGTACCTTTTGTCTTGGACCAGTGAGTACATTCTGATTTCCCTTGTCTCTTCCCATAAATCTTTGGTGCTGGATTGCAGCTTCAGGGTCCTGCCCATCTTCTTCATCTGAACAACGAATTTAGCACAATGGTATGGCTTTTGGTAAACAAATTTGAGCATAGTGCTGGGATTGATGAAGAGCTTAAACCGCCTGGTTTTATTGTGAAAGGCTTATTTCTTTTCCAACTTCATTTCTCAGTTTGTAGCCAAACTACCTCCTAGCATTTATAGACTAGCTCTTAATACCTTCTGCATTTCCCAGCAATAGTCTTTCCTAACTAAGCATCCATACCTTTTATGCTTTGTACAATTCTGTGGGTCCTTTAAAAATAAAAAAAAAGGTCCCTCTGGACAAATTCAAGTTTAATGAGACTGTGAATAAATCACTACTGTTTTATTCTTCATATCTTCAGTATGTGAGTTAAATTGTGGTTGCTTAAAAAAAGACGAATGGCACCATCACATGTTATACCTTTATTTGGAGAACCACGGCCAACCCCTACCCAAGGCCCACAACCCGCGGGCTCCGCCTCTGGTTCCGGCTCAGGCCCCGCCCCCGCCCCAGACCCCGCCCCTCGGCGGCCCCCCCTGGGCGCCAGGGCGCACGCGCCGGACTGGAGCTGGCGCGGCCGTCCCCTCCCCCACCCGGGCCGCCGGAGGGGAACCGGCAGCCGCGGCTGCTCGGGCCGGCGGGGTCGGTAGTCGTCATGGAGTACCCGTGGAACGAACTGACCCTGGCCTTCTCCCGCACGTCCATGTTCCCCTTTTTTGACATCGCCCACTACCTGGTATCGGTGATGGCGCTGAAGCAGCGGCCAGGTGAGTGAAGGGTCCGGACGCGCGCCGGGTTCCGCGTCCTCCCCGGCGGGGCGGCCGAGGGCAGGGTCCCCCGGGTCCCACCCCTCGGTACCGAGCACCCCACTCTGACCTAGCCTTAGGAAACTGGTGCAGCCCTCTGAACAGGACGTGTCAGCTGGGACCCCGGACCTCGCTCGCGTGTTGAGCCGGGAGACTCACCGGAGACGCGGTACAGCTAACAGTCACTTGGCACTTCACCATCTGTGAAACGCGCGGGGCGGGATGTGGTTCTCACCACACCGAGGCCCGCGAGCCGTGTGACCGAAGAGCAGAGTGTGCCCTCCTGTCCCCCACGCGGACCGTGTGGCTTTGCTGTTGTTGTTATTTCCATTATTTTTCCGAGTCTCCGTCCTTGAGATCCGGCGTTTCACTGCCTTCTACCGGCTGCCTTTCCCTGTCCCTCAGGTGAGGCGTGAAGGCGGGAGGCCGATTTGATTGGCCCACCTCTTGCGGAGCGCTGGTTTTCGATAGCCTTGACTCTCCTGTGTTTCTGAGACTGTGAGTCTAGCTCCCTGAAGGGCCGCCCTTCTGCAGGGGATATTGTTCCTCTGATGGGAGACAACTGCAGTTTGTTTCCACTCCGCACCTTCTCGGGGTGTGGCTCACTTTTTATTTATTTCCTCGGCACACACTCTAAACTTAGTTATTTCCATAATGATGGTAGTCAGCGGTTGTTCATCATCTCGTTGCCTTTATGAGCGTGCAGTGAAGCTTCCCAGTGGCTGTGTTGTAAGAGACGACTGAATCAAATGATGGATCCAGCCAACCATTTCTGTTTGAAGCTGGACATTAAGGAGATCTGCAGTGTACCTTTTCCCACGAAATGGTTTTTACTTTGGATAATACGGTTATTTTAGTAAAGAACACATTATTTATCTTAATATTTAGTGGACTTTTAAAACCCATATGTTAAAACTTAAAAAAAAAAACAAAACTGTACACTTAGCTGAATGTAAACAAAAACCCTAGGCCCATTGTTACTGTTACTGGAGATGGGTGCTTGGGAAATGCTCTCCCACCGATTGTAGCCCCAGGCCAAGGAATTTTTAAAATCATCTTTTTAAACGTATGACTTACGTAAGTATATTTAATTAAAAAAAATCACAGTTACATGATTTTGGATAAAAACACTAATAGACCTATGATCATGATCAAAATTTAAAGTATTTTTCTTGTCGACTCCAAGTCCCCTTTGCCCTTTAGTGATCTCTTCTCCAAACCGTGGTAACCCATTCGTGCTCTGTATAAATTTTAGGGGTCTATAGAGGTCCAAACTTTGAGAATCACTTGAATAATTGAATGTTAATTAACATGTTTTACTCCCAGTTCAGTAAATGAAAGCATTCATAGGAGAATGCCTACATAAGCAGGGAGTGTGTCAGAGTACCTATTAACTTTAACAGTAGTAATTATTTTCAGTCATAGAAAGCAGTTTTCATTTGCATTTTTCATGGTTATTAGTGTGTGTGCTTCCTTGGTTTATTGGCCATTTGATTTAATTCCTGTAACTGCCTAATTATCTTTTGCCTGTTTATCAGGATGTAGATTGTTGTTTTATTTTATTGATTCTTTTCATGCATCATGGACATTCTAAGTGTTAAAACTTTTTATTTTACTTATTTATTTTTTTCTTTGCTCATTAAATTTTAGCTTTTAGTGCAGAAGTTTAAATTTTGTGGTTGAAACTATTTACTTTTTTTTTTTTTTTTTTAAACAGACGTCTGTTTTTACAGATTCCCTTTATGACTTTTAGGATTTATATATTGTTTCAGGAAGGTTGGTCTCTTGGTGAGGATTATAGAAATACTGACTTATGCTCTTTTAAAAATATTTTTATTTTTGTTAACTTTAATGTGTGTGTGTCCGTGCGCGTGTGCGCATATGAGTACAGGTGCTTTCAGAGGTCAGATTTCCTTGGGGCTGGAGTTATGCTAGAGTTACAAGTGTTTCTGAGTCATGCATTGAGCATGCTGGAAACTAAATCAGGTCCTCTGTAAGAGTAGTAAGTGCCTTTACTCATTGAACCAAATCTCCAACTCCTTATTTATGTTTTTTTAATTTTTTAATTTTTAGACTTTTGCACTAAGAGACAAAGCTAAGCCTATGGTAACAAAGGAAGCTTTTGGGGCTGGAGAGGTGGCTTAGTGGGTAAGAAAGTTTGTTGCACAAGCCTGAGGACTTTAGACCAAATCCCTAGGACCTATGTAAAAAGCTGAGCCCAGGTGAGTTTGTAACCTCAGCTCTGTGGGGCCTGGGGAGACAGGAGGATTGCTGGGGCTTGCTGACTGCTCACCTAGCTTCAGGATCAGTGACGGACCCTGTCTGGAAGGAATAAGATAGAATGTGGTAGAGTGGGGCACGTGATATTTTCTTCCGGTTTCCATTAATGTGTGTACACAGGCACATGCACACACACACACACACACACACACACAAACACACACACACTTTTTAATCTCTGAAACAGTTTTGTGGTAGATGGATATTTCTTTCTTTCTTTTTCTTTTTTTTTTTTTTTTAATATAGGGTTTCTTTTCATGAAAGCCCTAGCTGTCCTGAACATCTTTTTGTAGACCAGCCTGGCCTGGAACTCACAGAGATTTACTTTCCGCTACCTCCTGGGGTGCTGGGATTAAAAGCATGTGCCACCATGCCTGGTTTAGATGGATGTTTTGCTCTTTGAATCTCTGTGAAATTACTACAAAGAGCACTTGGAACTCAGTGATCGTGGCTGAATGGCTAGCTAACTGATTGGGCGTGCTCTGTTACAGAGACCATGCTTCTGCCTGGCCCTTTGCAGGCCCCTAGTATTTACTTGCTTTCTTCAGCCTTGCATTTCTTTTGGGAGTTACTGAAATTCTTTCCCAAAAATTCTCTTTGTCTTAAGTTTGTCACATTTCTTTTTCTAGCCTCCAGATGAGACACAGTGCTGGTACAGAGTGAACAGCAGTTTGGCCTTACTCCTGAGGATGCTTCTAAAGTATAATGAGATGTTTTCTTTTCTTTTTTAATTTATTTTATTTAATGTATATGATTGCTCTATCTGCATGTACACCTGTGTGCCAGAAGAGGGCAACAGATCCTAGTATAGATGGCTGTGAGCCATCATGTGGTTGCTGGGAACTGAACTCAGGACCTCTTGAAGAGCAGATGGTGCTCTGAGCCTCCGAGCCGTGTCTCCAGCCCGAAGTGTGATGTTTTCCGCAGGTTTTCTGAGGCATATTCTAAGGAAGCATTGTTGTATTTGTTAGCTTCCTAGGTAGGCTGCCCCTCTGTGTTTACCACCCAGAGAGAGGTAAAAATTTTACCAAGTTTTTTTTTTTTTTTTTTTTTTTTTAAATCAGAAATTTATTGACCAAGGATGGGTGAGTAATGTCTGTAAGCCTAGTACTTGGGAGACATAGGCAGAAGGACTGGAGAAAGTTCAAGGTGAGCCTGGGCTGCATAGCAAGACCCTGTTTCAGATTCAAAACAGAACATACCTATTGAGATAAATAATCACATGTATTGCCTTTCCTGTGGAAATGTAATATAGATTACATGAATATAATTTTAAAAATTATGAATCATCCTTATATTTTTGGAACAAACTTTCACTTGCTTTATGAGTTAGTTCAGTGTATTTGGGATTTGACTTGTTAGTACTTGATCTAAACTTTTTTCATTCATGTTTAGGATTGGTGTTTTCAAATTAGACTATTTTGTTGTCCTGTTCATTTCTAGTTTGGGTCGTAAGGTTCTGTTTTTTGTTTTTTTGTTTTTTTTATAAAATAGGTTTAGGTCAAGATGATTTATATAATAGGCATTGCCTGTTTTTAGATATTTAGTAGACTTCAGTTGTGAAGTCTAGGAATCTCTATTTCTTTTTATTTTCGTTTTTTGTTTGTTATCTTTCCGTTTTCCCCATAGGATTTCATTTTGTAGCCCTGACTGTCTTGGAACTCACTCTGTAGATCAGGCTACCCTCAAACTCACAGAGATCCAGCTGCCTCTGCCTCCTGAGTGCTAGGATTAAAGGTGTGTGCCCCCCCCCCCCCCCCGCTTTGGTACATTCTAATGGATAGATGTTTCCTTTTCTCATCAGTTGTAAATTGCCTGGTAATTTACCCTTCTCTGAGGAGTCACCTGTTTTCTTTAGATTAAGTCTATCAGAGCAGATGTGTATGTCTCTAGGTCTTTTGCTAGTTTAGCCCTTATGTTGGTACGTGTGCGGTGTATGTATGTGTTCATAGACATGTGTACATCCATGCATGTAGGTGCTAGTGCATGAGTAGGCTAAGGTTGATGTTGGATATCTTCCTTGATCCCTGTCCATTCTAGTTGAGACAGGTTTTCTCACTGAACCTGCAGCTCACTGGTTGTCTGGCTGGCCAGCCTCTGGGTTCTAGAGATCTGCCCTTCTCTGCTCACCATGTGCTGGGCTATGGGTGTGTGCATTGCTGCTCCCAGATCTCTGGGTACTAGGGATCTGAACTCAGGCCTTCATGCTTACACGAAGCACTTCCCCACTGGAAACATCTCCCCACCCCACCTCACCTCATTCTAGTTGTTTAGTCTTAAATGTTTCTTTGAGTTTTGTGGATCATTCTTATGTTCTCATGTATCTTCTCTCTTTTCATTTTGATTAAAATCTATTTTCCCAAACTCTGTCAGTAGATAGAGCTTGTGTTCTCTGTCGTGTGGTCAGCATTTCTTTTTTCGTAGTTTAGAACTGGTAAGTGTATGTCTCATCCAAAGTTTAAGTAGGTCATCACTTAGTATATCCAAGCTTTACTAATTGACAGTACTTTTGTGATGGTCAAGGAAAACTCCATTTTGTGCTAGGCACCCATGTTAGTAGCCATTTGTCTCTGACCTATTTTAAATTCTGATAGATAACTTCCCAGCAACCCTGACTCCTTACCTCCTCCCCAGAATTGTGTAACTGTTGTTAAATGATTAACTGTTTGCTCTGGCTTCTGTAAAGTTGATTATTGCTGTGTGGAGAGGGAGTAAGACAGTTTCTCACTGATCTGTAAATTCCACAGAAAGGAAGTGTTTGTGGATTTTGCCTTTAAAAGCCCTTTCTTCATCTGCTTCTGAGTGGCAAGTCTCTGAATGTGGTTAGAGACTGCAGCCCTGCTACTAGTTTTGATAAATTTGGCTAATTATAATCAGAATTGAATCTTGTGGTCTTTTCCAGATGGTCTCGAACTCTATAACACTCTCAGTCCCTAATGACTAGTTCTATAGAGCTCCAGAACCCACAGTGCAGTAAAGTTACAGTGCATGCATGTGCAAATAGCAGTTCTTCCCCCTCAAACAAGAGGGCCCTAGGAAGTCAAGGCTAGCTTGAGTTTTACACTGAGTTTAAGGCTAACCAGGCAACAAGAGGCTCTGTCTTAACAGCCCTCTCCCCCTAGCAA